ACAGAAATCTGCCTGCCTCTGCCTCCCAAGTGCTGGGATTAAAGGCATAGGCCGCCAATGCCCAGCTGCTTTGTTTTCTTAACACCCCCTGCCGCCCCCCAAAAATCCCAAATGGTTAGATTTTTCCACACGGTTAGTTGTTTAGAGACTGTGGACTGTGTATACTGTTGTGTTGCTTTATATGTGTGTGTGTTAGCAAAATAAGGATTTTCAACATGTTGCTATTTTTGTAGCTATAAAAATCTGAGTTTTCAAAATGAGTATGACTTTAGAATAATGTCATATTTTGTAGCAGAAATTCTTTATTCTTTATTGAAGACTTCAAATTTTGTAACTAGGCTGCTTTATTTAAGACTTCTAACATGGGGGTTGGAGAGATGGCTCAGCGGTTAAGAGCACTAACTGTTCTTCCAGAGGTCCTGAGTTCAATTCCCAGCAACCACATGGTGACTCACAACCACCTTAAGTGACATCTGGTGCCCTCTGCTGACAGGCAGAAGACTGTATACATAATAAATAAATAAAATCTTAAAAAAAAAAGACTTCTAACATGTTTGGGAACTTTGAGTTTATATTTTAGTTGAATAAAATACATTTCTAAGCAAAAGAAGTTTGGTCACCTGAAAAATTTCCATTTTGAATCAACAAAAAGTGGTCACATACTGATGCTTTTCACTCTTCAGAGGTCACCGCTAGACCTTGAGGATGCTTCATCATTTTCTCCAAAAGTGTAAGCGGCTCACAAATTCTCTGAGTTTTAAAACTAAAGAGAAGTTGCCCATGTGGTCCTTCCAGCTCCCACAAGCCCTCCGAAACCTGTCATAATAACTTTCTTTGGTCAAGTTGAAATCTGGTCCAGTTGTTTTTAAAAATCTGTCCTTTTTCCATCTTTCTCTCCAGGAATCTTTGAATTTTCCAAAATAACTTTCTTTTTCAGATTCTTCCTTCCATATTCCTTCTCCTTTCTTTAAGGCTGTCAGTTCAGCTTTAAGTAAGCGTCTGTGGATTTTCCAGTGGGATTTTGAGTCATAATTTAGCCCTTTGACAAGAACCGTTTTGCCCAAGCCTTTTCTCAAAATTTCCTCATTCAGATTCACATTAAAATATCCACCCTGAATAAAAATAAAAAAGCTGATTATTTAATAAATTGTTATAGTACATTATTAACCTTAAAATTCAACAATTTTATCATTTTAGAGAACAGCTAAAACAAACAAACAACAAACCATATAACACAAGGTCTTCAGGTCAAGTTTGGTGGCACATGCTTGTAATCCTAGCATTTATGAGGCTGAGGCAGGAGGATTACTTACACATGGCCAGACAGTATTGAAAAATGGGACACTGTCTCAAACAAAACAGTAACAACTATAAAACAGGGGCTTGAAGATACCCAGCATCCATATAAAAATCAAGGCAAAGTGGGCAGTTCAGGCTTTTAATCCCAGTGCTGGGGAGGCAGAGACTCGAGAATCCCTGGAGCTCACTGGCCAGTTAGCCTGGCTGAGTAGGTGATCTCCAGGTTCAGAAAGAAATGATAAGGTGCATGGTAACCAAGCAAGACACCTGACATGAACACCTGGCCTCCACACATGCACACACAAGTGTCAACACCTGTAAACACATATGAACCACACACACAAAATAAGTATCAAAACATACCAGCAAAACAACAAAGGGATTGAAGAGCCTAAAACAGCTATTGCTAAATTGAAGGATTTTGTTTTTTTATATAATACACATGTAAGCCTTGCTCAAAGTCAACTGATTCTCCTTGATCTCTAATCCAAAGAAGCATTGAAATGGTAAACTATAAAATGTACTAATTACCCTCTTGGCTGTGTAGAGAGAAAATAGAGCACAGGATTTGCACAATGAGAACCCACAGAAAAACAAAAAGAACTATATAAACTAATAGGTAAACAAGTCACACGGGACAGAGCAGCATCAAATTGTTAAGTTAAAAGTCACAGGGTTTGGGGGGCTCTGACAGGTAGTTTTTTTTTCCTTTTTTTAACATATCATTTTTAAAAAAGATTTATTTATTATGTTTACAGTGTTCTGTCTGCCTGTGTCCTTGCAGACCCAAATAGGGCACCAGATCTCATTACGGATGGTTGTGAGCTATCATGTGGTTGCTGGGAACTAAACTCAGGACCTTTGGAAGAGCAGCCAGTGCTCTTAACCTCTGAGCTATATCTCCAGCCCCCGCCCCTTTTTCCTTTTTTTATATGTGTATGGGTATTTTCCATTTTGTATGCCTGTGTATCACTTTCATTCCTAGTGCCTGCAAAGGCCAGAAGAGGGAACTAGAGTTGCAGTTTGTAAGCTACTGTTTGAGTACTGGGTCCTCTGCAAGAGTAGCCACTGCTCTTAACTGTTGAGCAATTTCTCCAAACCCAGGTATGTACATTTTAAAAACACCTACTCCAAATAATCTTTGACTAGCTTGAAATTTTCATTTCTGGAATGTTCCACTTGTAATGAAATAAATGTGACCCTCCCCATAGGAAATCATAGGAATAAAGCAGATCCTGTTCTAATCTAATTAAAACTAATTAAAACCAAGTATTGATAGCTTCATTGTGAAATAAATCACAGGGCTGGAGAGATGGCTCAGCAGGTTAAGAATGCTTTGCTTGCTGATCCTCCAGAGGACTGGAGTTTGGCTCAAGCACCCACACAGAGCAGTTCAGAACTGTCTGTAACTCCAGCTGCAGGAAATCCAACACCAATGTGAACTCTACACATGTAGACACCCACACATGTAGACAGACACCCATAAATAAAATCTTAAAAAAGCAAAACAACAACAACAAACCCAAGTGCTTGTTATACAATCATTTGAATTGGAGTTTCATCCTAGCACCCATGTAACAAGCCAGGTGCTCTCCAACACAGAAGGATTCGTCGCCCCTTCTGACAGGCTCACCCACATACATGTATGTGTACACACACACACATACACACAAACACACACACACACACACTCTCATGTGCACATAATCTCAAGCAGAAACATTCACAAACATTCATACACATATTCACATACACATTTTCAAAAAGTAAATCACAATTAATGTGAAATTAATCTAAAAATGTCAAAAGTCCAGGCTTAATATTTTCTAAGGAATATTGGGAAATATTTTCTAAGAATCTATTAAACAAAGTAATCGTTTTATAAACATAGCCTTGAAATAAAATTAAAGAGTAAATAATTAAACATTATTTCTCTGGGTACAATAAATTTTGGTTCATGAAAAGTTTGTTATATTGGTCTCAGTTTAAAACATTTTATACACTCATTTCCTTGAGCCAAACCAAAACAACTACATTTCAATCTCAAACATTAGTAGAATTCAAGCAGAAGCAACTGAATCACACTATGTGCACAGCATAATTTGTTCACCTAGAAAACAAGGTAAGGATGAGGAATGAAGGTGGGTTTTTGAACCAGGAAGGAATCTTCCTTTGGTTAGTCCAGTCAAGGCAATTACATTCCTTAGACACCCACCTGTAAATGAGAACAGCAACCCCACAGGATGGTTTTCTGTATGCATGAAAAACCTGAGCATGACATTTACTTTTACAGCTTCTGAGTGTAAACACAGGATATTGAAGCAGACGGAGCAATATTTATCTTCAGAAAGCATCCTTGCTCTTTGCAGCTCCCAGTTGCCACGCTTTGTTCCCCAAATGATTTCTACTAACAATGTGGTACAATACACTCATGCATATGTAAATGTATGGGGACAGTCCTTTATTTAGCAATGACTAAAATCATTAATAATTTGAAAGTCCTTCCCTCTCTATAAATTTCTTTTTATATCTTCATTTTTATTATTTTTATCAACATTTATTTTCATTTTATGTGTACAAATGTGTGCTTGTATGTATGTACATGAGCCTCATGTGTGTCTGGTCAGGACATTGGATCCCTGAAACTCTAGTTACAGACCTTTGTAAGTTGCTATGTGGGTGCTAGGAACCAAACATTAGTTTTCTACAAGAGCAGGAAGCCTGAGCCAGCCCTCCAGCCCCATATTTTTATTTAATTTTTAAAAATACTTATTTTATTACTTTTATTTATGTATATGTGTGCATGTGACTGTGGTGCCTGATTCCCCCAGAGCTGGAGTTACAGGTGCTTGTCATCAGCCTGATTTGGATGCTAGGAATCCAACTCACCTTTGTAACAGCAATGAGAGCTCTTAACCACTCAGCCATCTCTGCAGCCATCTCTAGGCCTTAGTTTGTTATTTTTTTAAATAATGTGTATATGTGTGCATCTATGTGCTTGATTGCAGTGCCCACAGAGGGGAGAAGAGGGCATTGGATACTCTGGAACTGGAGTTATAGGTGGTTGTCGGCTGCCTAAAGCAAGAGCTCTTAATTGTTTGAGCCACATCTCCAGCCCCTTTAGAAATCCTATTTGACTGATATAAACACCCACAAAATTTTACATGAAATTTATATAGTGCCAGTATTGGTGGCACCTGCTCTAATCCAAGCCTTGGAAGGCAGAGGCAGGTGGAACCCTGTGAATTCAAGAACAGCCTGCTCTATAGAGCAACACAGAGAAACGCTGTCTCAAAAAAAATAAAACACCTTGTTCTTTACACATAACAATGATTAGCAGCTTGAAAACCTCATTATATATTCAAAATGCTAATTAAATAAGTGTTTACTTATGTTAAGAATAAAACAAGGTCAGTTATTTCTTCACACTACTTACCTTGTTCACTAAAAGATAGCAAAAAAGTGCTGAATTCTCCTTTCCAAGAAGCTGGAACCACAGCAGCTGGGAAGGTTTCAGCTCTTTCTGTAACCAGACCTTACCGATTTCAGTGAGTTCCACTCCAGCCAGCTTAACCAGCAAAACTCCACGTGGCTCTTCTAAGAAAGAAATGTACAAAGTAGTTTAGCTTCAAGGCAGACCACAAAGCAAAGTCCAAAGTCATTTGCCTCCAAGCCCCTAACACACATTATTTATAAATACTTATTTATAAATACTCAAGTTCTAAATTTAGTACCATTTATTTTTATTAAATTTTAATTTAAAATAATGCAAGTATAAGTCAGATGTGGTATATCCCAACACTCAGGAAGCAGAGCCAGGTGAATCTCTGTGAGTTCAAGGCCTGTTTGGTTTACATAAGGAGTACAGGACCAGCCATAACTGTTTCACAGGGAAACCCTGTCTCAGGAGGGAAAAAAAAAAAAAAAAAAAGAGTTGCCTTGGTCATGGCAACTATTATAAAGGAAAACATTTAATTGGGGCTTGCTTACAATGTCAGAGGTTTAGATCATTATTGTCATGTCAGAAGCATGGTGGCTCACAGACAAACACAGTGCTGGAGAGGTAGTTAGAAGTTCTGTATCTGGATCAGCAGGCAGCAGGAAGAGAACTGAGACACACTGAGACCCCAAAGCCCACTTGCTAGTGACACACTTCCTCCAACCAAGCCACACCTATTTCAACAAGGCCACACCTTCCATCAGTATCATACGCTATGGACCTATGGGAGCCATTTTTATTCAAACCACCCTACAAATAATCATCCACCCGTTTTGGCCTCCTGAGTACTGAGTTTAAAGACATGTGCTACCAGGCCCAGCTTGTAATTTGGTTTTAGATTTTACAGATCACATTTAAGAGATGACTTAAGTCTTAGAAGAGACTTTAGACTTTGAATTACTGAACAATGTTGGGACTATTAAAGACTGTTGCATCATGAAACAGTCACAAGCTATGGGGGCCAGTGGTGGAATGCTATGGTTTGAAAGGGAAATGTCTCCCATATGCTCATGTGTTTGAAGACTTAGTGATAGCTGTGGAACCTTTAGGAGGCAGAGACTTGCAGGAAGAGTATGCCCCCTATACCCCCCCACCCCTAAAAAAAGAGGAGGAGGAGAAAAAAAGAAAACAGAAAACCAACTCTTGAAAGTTGTCTTCTGACCTCCACATGTGTGCTGTGGCACATGATTGCCCACACACGCACACACACACACACACACACACACACACACACACACACAATTTAAAGAGTATATATATTGGTTTTTCAAGACAGGATTTCTCTGTGTAACTTTGCAGCCTATCCTGGCACTCGCTCTGGAGACAAGGCTGGCCTCGAACTCAGAGAGATCCACCTGCCTCTGCCTCTGCCTCTGCCTCCCAAGTGCTGGGATTAAAGGCATGCATCACCAATGCCCGTCCTAAAATATTTTTAAATAATTTATTTATTTTTATTTTATGTGCATTAGTATTTTGCTTGCATGTATGTCTTGTGTGAGGTTGTCAGATCTTGGAGTTACAGACAGTTGTTAGCTGCCATGTGAGTGCTGGGAATTCAACTAGGGTCCTCTAGAAGAGCTGTCACTGCTCTTACCTTCTGAGCCATCTCTCCAGCCCCTTGAAAACATTTTTTAGACAAGATCTCACTGTGTAGTTCTTGCCACCCTAGACCAATATATATAGACCAGGATGGCCTCAAACTTAGAGATCCTCCTGCCTCTGCCTCCTGTGTGCTGAGATTAAAGGCAAGTACCACTCACTGCACTTGGCAATGAGGTTTTTGTTTTGTTTTGTTTTAATAAAAAAATGTTCTAAAACTTGGTTGTGCAGATAACAGTAAACATTTTCCTTCAGACTAGGGTTTCCTAAAACCTGTCCCTGAGTTTCAAGCAAAGAAGCTTGAAAGTAGGTGGGAGGATTGTGCCCTTAGCAAAAATTGTGTGATACAGCTAATGTGGAATTAGGTGAAGACAGAAGTACAACACAGGTTAGATAATGCTGCAAGGAAGGAAGCCTATAGTCCCAACACTCACAAGGCAGTGGCAAGACTATTGACAGTTCAAGTCTAGCCTGGGCTTCATGGCAAGACTTTGTCTCAAAAAAACATAAACAACTTTTAAAATTTAGATGACTGTAAGGTCATTGATATACAAATAAATTCTTAAGTCTGCTCTAATGTCTGAATATTGCCAGCACCACCGACAATCTTTCATAAAGGCTTCTGTAGTTTATGAGACCAAGGATTAGGTAACAAAAACTTCAATTCGATAGTCTAAATCTAATTCAACACTATCAACTGTAGCACTGATGTACCAATTCATCACAGGATAAAGGCCACTGGGCTCTTTTTTAAATGGGGAAATTTCTTATTGAACACTCAAAGTATAATGTAACTGATAAGAGTAAAGTCATTATGATTTAATAAACCATCCAAACAAATGAGTAGGAGAAAGTCATAACAGATTTTCACCAAAAACTTTGAATATTCTTGGAAATGCAAGCATTACTTTCAAAAGCCTATGATTTCTGGCTGGGCATGGTGGTACACTGCCTACAACCCAGCACTGAGAAAGCACAGGCAGGACTATCACACATTTCAGGCCACCTGGCTATACATAATTAATTCTAGGCCAGCCATGCCAATATAGTAAAAAATTATCTCAAAAACTAAGAAGGCATACTTCTAAATTTAAAAAGCATTACATTTATTTATTATGTGTGTGAACCACACACAGCACATATGTAGATGTGCGAGGACCACATGTGGGAGTCAGTTCTTTCCTTCTACCATGTAATCTGAGAGATTAAACTCAGATCTTCAGTCTTGGTGGTAAATACTCTTACATGCTGACTTATCTCGCCAGTCCTCAATTGTCAGTTTTATAGTTATTGCATTTAATTAATTTCCATATGTGTTTATATGTGTTCATAAGTATGGAGTACATGCACATGGAGGTCAGGGGGTAACTTGTGGGGTTGTTTCTCTCCTACCACATGGGTCCTTGAGATTGTACTAAGGAGGCTTGGTAGCAAGCACCTTAATGCACTGAGCCATCTTGCCTGTCCACAACTTCTAATCCCTAATTGTTTTTAGCTTTGTTTCTGTGATATAAAACATTTTGCCTTCCTAGGTCTTCAATGAATATTTTAAATTTTAAGATATATTTTATTTTATATGTATGAATATTTTGCCTACATTTATGTCTGTGCACCTACCCTTGGAGTCCAAAAGAGGGAATTGGATTCCCTGGAACTGGAGTTACAGATGGTTGTGAACTATCATGACAATTGCTAGGAATAAACCACAAAGTCATTGCTCCAGTCCCCTTCAATAAATCTTGCATGACATGTAACATGTAATTATGTAATGACATTAGAGGTATGATAGCTGTGTTCTGATATAATTGTTGTAGTAGCCATTTTATGACGTAAGAGTCTTGACAGCTATTGTAACTTAATATTGATAACTGTTATGATATAATAACTATGACAGCTATTATACATAATAGTCATGATAGCCATGTTATAACAAAATAGTGCTGGGAACTCAGGTCTTCTGTAAAAACAAGTACTCTAAACCACTAAGTCTTCTCTACAGTCCCCTTCAATAAATCTTGCATAGAAACAATTTTTAAAGTCAAATCCTTATTGAATGGGACAGAACAGAGATGCTAGAAGTTGGCAGGAAAGCAACATGGCTCTAGTAGAGTAGGCTAAGAGTACTCTGCCAGAAAGGTAGGATGTGAGTCTTATGGATGATCACAAAATCAGGGAAAGGAGAAAGTGTGACAACTGAAGGAAAGAAATATGGACACCTGGAAAATCAGTGAATGACACAAAATGACACTGTCTCAGTGACAAATGCCATCACTTAAGGAGTCTGTTTCATCACTAAACTCTTTGTTATTTGTTTTGAAATTGCATCACCCTATGTAGCCCTGTCTGGCCCAGAATTTGCTACACAGATGAAGTTGGTCCTAAACTCACAGAGATCTCCTCACTCTGCCTTCTGAATGCTGGGATTAAATGCCTGTGCCATTGTACCAAGTATGAATAAATATTTTTAAAGATTTTGGTAAGCATACAATAAACACATATGATATTTGTGAACAATCTTAATTGCTACAGTAGTTCTAACAGCTATGTTATAATAGATATAATAGTTATATTATACCTTAATAGTATATAATAGTTGTAATAGCCATGTTATGACATGATAGTCATGATAGCTGTGTTGTGACATAATAGATGTGTTAGCTGTGGCATGACATAATAGCTTATAGCAGTGTGCTTTCTGAACTTACTGGCTTGCTTCCCATGGCATGCTCGGCTTGCTTTCTTATAGAACCCAGGTTAGGCTCTCCTCCATCAATCACTAAGAAAATGCGCTCCAGTCCAATCTTATGGAGGCATTTTCTCAGTTGAGATTCCCTCCTTTCAGATAACTAGCTTAGGTCAGGTTGACATGAAACTATCAGAACATAGCTATGATAGCATAATAATATCCATGTCGGAGCACAATAGTCATGACAACTGTGTTATGGCATAGTAGTCATGATAGCTGTGTTATGACATAATAGGTGTGATAGCTATGTTATTGCATAGTAAGTAATAATAACTGCATTATAAAATAAAAATCACAATAGTTGTGTTCTGATACAGTAGTTCTAATACTTCAAGGAAATTCATGACAGCAGACAACATCCTTAGACAGGAGAAATGCCTTGGAATATATACATTTATCAAAAAATATTAGTGTTTTATCATCAGAAATAAAAAAAAGATTTGGATAATTTCCTTGTAACTATTGCAAGTTCTGTGACTATTTCAGGCATATACCTATTTCAATGGTCACTATATGCAATAAGGCTGTAGCAAAAGAACAGACATTCATTAAATCACTGTTGAAAATGTAAAGTGTTTTAAATATTTAAATATTGATAATTTTGTTGTTGTTTTTGGGACAGGATTTCTATGTGTAGCTCTGGCTGTCCTGGAACCAGTACATCAGACTGGTCTTGAACTCACAGAGATCCACCTGCCTCTGCCTCCCCAGTGCTGGGATTAAAGGTGTGCACCACCATGTCCAGACATTTCATAACTTTTTAAGTTGTGCCTACATATTTATGGATGTGCTTATACCTTCTCATCTATATCCATAAATGATCATGAGGGGGATGTCACAGATGTTATGAGGATGGTGATAATAGACTCATGCTCTGAAACTGAAAGCAACCCCCTAACTGAATGTTTCCTTTTATAAGTTGCTTGGTCACAGCAATAGAACAGATATCTAACACAACAGTCATTTGAACCAAACATTTTGCATAAAGAATGGCCTCAATTTTTAGGATCTAGATATTAGTCCTATAAATATAAGAAACAAAGGTCTAGTTGTATTTTGTCGACCAGATAGTAAAAGTGGTGAAAGGAACATGGGTGGCAGTCTTTTCTCGATGTTTTTACAATGCCAATGTTTTTACAAACTCGGGGCCTCAAACAAACTAAGTAGGCACTCTTCAACTGTATTATGCCTCCAGCACCAGGCACATTGTCTGAATAACTCCTTTCAGATGAAAATGGTACGTTCTAGTGTATTATTACATCATTGAAAATAGTGCTTGGGTAGTGACTTTCTACTTCCCAAGCCATTTTTAGGTAGTTTTTGTTTTTATTTTGTTTTTTACTTCTGAAAATTAAAACCTAACCTCTTTCCCAAGAGCAATTTATATCAGTCACAAAGTGTTCACACTATCATTTTCTCTGTAGTAGCCACCATGTGTTGAATGACACACATCAGGTTTCTTTCATTTATACATGAACAGGCATTCATGAAGTTCTGGACTGAGCAGCAAAGAAAACAAAACAAAAACAAAATCAAAACCAATCATAGCTTTTCTAGCTATGTCCTAGTGGCTTCACTGGATAGGGAGAGAGCTTATAAAACAAAACACACACACACACAAACCAAAACCAAAACCAAAACCAACCAAATAACAACAACAACAACAAAACAAAAACAAAAACTACATCAATTCATTCTATCCAATCTCTATCAGCCAGTCAGAATTTTTCTATAGATTGTGAGCATCAGGTTTTTGGGGAACTGTTCATGTCTATCAGGAGCTTATACTGTAGTGGAGAAGATAAAAATGTGAATATATAATATGCACAGGAAGTGAAAAGGAAAAGAGTTAGCTTATAGCCTTGGAAGATGGACAGAATTCTAGAAAGCAGAGCAGAATGACAATGAATACTACAATGGCAGTGCATTTAAACACCTATGCAGTTAATTCTTCACAGGAGGGTTAAGGAAGTTTCACCAAAAAAGCAGCAATTGAGCTGGATCCCAAAGAATGAATTTAAGCTGTCTGAGCCAAAATCCAGGATTATGAGGTTGCATCTACAGGAGAAAGGTGTGTGGGGGGGGGGGGGGGGGGGGGATTTGCTATGATGTGGAGATAACTGATAATAGTAGAGAAACACGTGGTTTCTAATACCCCTCTAGTCTCCTTTGGTCCTTTCAATGTTTCTTTCCTGTCTCAACTATAGGAGCCTTCATATAGGCCATCAAAAGATGCAAGCTCATTCCTATCTACACTGTTCCTGGCTAGCCCACTGAAATGTTCAGATCTGAATATTTAACAACCCCTCAATGAGACCTTCTCTGGCTGCTGTATACGTGTAGATTTCCTTAGCCCCACCAGACCTGAAAAGTTATCTATCCTAGGACTGTTTCTTGTCTTCATCAATATTAGGACAAAATTTCACATGTATTTTGTCTCTCTTCCACCAAGATTGTGAGCTACAAGTGTTAGGAGGACAGTGGTTGTTTTATTCAACATTGTACAGTTATCTTAGGTCCTAAGCCATAACAGATTGTCATCATTTGTAAGATTAGCACCCGAAGGCCTATGTGAAAGACTGGGTAGTCAACTAAAACAAAAAGGAGAAGGAAGACAAGAACTCTAGAGCCAAATTAAATCATCTCAGGTAAATAAGACCATGGTTCAGACTTTCATAGACTATGGAAAGGAATCAGAAATTAGTATATTTCTGCTACTTTATAAAGAGCATATACTTATTAAATACCATAATAATGACTACTAGTTTTACGATTCTTGCATCTTACTTACTTTTCCATGAAGATATAAAAGGTAAAGTAATAGGAATATGTTCAATTTCTAGACCACACTCAGTTATCCGGTGTAATCGGCCACGTAGCTTAACTTTCTTTCTTATAAACTCTACTGGAATATCTGCAGAGGTTGTAAATTTTGATGTCTGTTGATTTACAAAGAAAAACATTGAATTTTCACTTAAAATAAAAAGAAAATGTGAAGATATCTAAGCATTGAGCAAAAAGACATAGCCGTTGAAAGCATTAACTTTAACACTTCAATATTTAATAAAAGTTTTTACATTAATGCTTTAATATTTAGTCAAACGTGTTTATAGAGTCTGGAGAGATAGCTCAGCAGTTAAGGGCACTTGGCACACTTGCTGTGGATGTGTGTCTGGTTTCCAACACCCAATTCCAGAGGACATACATGCACAAGCATGTATATATAAAAATAGTAAATAACTTAAAATTTTTTATGGAGAGTTAAAGCTTATTACTCATCCATTTCTATTTCAAGCTAATATATAAGAGATGTTATATATAAATCCTAAGCAAAGCTGTGTCAAATCAAAATAGACTCCTAACTGGCAAGGTTTTTTAAATTTTTTAAAAATATCATTTAGGAAACAAAGCAAATCTTTAAAAAGAAAAGAAGTGGGTAGGCCAACAATGGAAATTTACTTCTACCCCCAACACCTACTTGGTGCCTGGGGTTATCATCATGGCTAGTTCAGAACCTTATATAACACTGTACATCTTTCTAATACTAGGAAAGAATATTTGATGCTGTGGCATATTATCTCTGCAAGAGAAAAGAGCTTCATCTAAATGTTGGGAAATTTCCTAGTTATTACTCAACCAGGACTTAATTTTTAAATTTTTGTGTAGTGTGCAGGGAGGGGGTGGGGCGGGGACGACCACACTATATACATGGAGGTCAGAGGAAAATTTTGTGGAGTATGTTCTCTCTTTCCACCTTCATGTGGTTTCTGGGGATCAAACTCAGATCTCCAAGGCTTGTGCAAGAACATTTAACTACTGAGCCATCTCAAAGGCCTGGAACTTACTTTTAACTTGGATTCAGAAGGACCACGCTGGATTGGTTTTTTGTTTTGTTTTGGCTTTTTTTTTTTTTTTTTTTTTTTTTTTTTTTTTTCTGAGCCCTGGCTGTCCTAGAACTCACTGAATAGACCAGGCCTTCCTCTGCTTCCAGAGTGTTGAAATTAAAGGTGTGTGCTACCACCACCCAGTACACTCTGGGTTTTTGTTTGTGGGGGTACACATAAAGAATTTATGTAGGTTTGTTTTCAGATATTAATCAAAGTGCAAGCCATAAGTGATAACCAGAAGTATTGAAATTCTGTCACTCCATGCTGCCTAAGAAACCATTCCAGGTTACACTGGAAAGTTGTAACCTTTCAAATTCAACAGATGACTCCATAATAGGTTCCATTTAGGTTCTATGACTAATAGACGGCTACCTCAGAATTTATATTTTTATCTAAATGTAATAGTTTATTTGCAAAACACCTGAGAAACAGTTTTGCCTAAAAGACAAGATTTCATCAGTACCAACAACTCCCTACCCAAACAAGAAAACTAGACAACTCCTAGTTTGTTTGGTTTTGGTTTTGTTTTGAGACAAGGTCTCCCTCTGTAGCCCAGGCAAGGCTGACCTGGAACTCACCAGCAGTTCAGGCCGGCTATGACCTTGTGGCAATCCTGCTTCCCAAACTGCCTGGAATACAGGTGTGAGTCACCACACCCAATTAAATCCTATTTTGTTCACAGAAAATTAAGATCTGAGTATTGAAAGGTTATGGTCTGTGTAAAAGCTGAAATAGCTCATGGGATCATAATTATGTGATTAGAGATAGCAGCAATTTAGGGCTTGCTGGCATAAATGCATAAATAAAATGAGTAAGTTATTAACCTGCTTGCTTTTTCTTGACTCCAACTCATTCCTTACATGTAGGCTTGAGAATTTTAGCATTTAGGTTAGTGGTTCAGCACAAGTCAGGAAAATAACTCTAAACTAATCAGAATGCTATCCAATTGTTAATGTCTCTTATAAGCAATATATAATATATTCAAAAAACAAACCAAAACACTTGAGATATTCCACAGTATCTAAAATGCAAGTTTAGAGACTATACTATTTTAACAAACTAAATCCTTTATGGAATCATTTTTTAACTCTAAAAAATATGATTATGCAAATGGTCTGTAGAATTAAGCAACGATAAAATCTATACATTTTTATGACTCTAAAATATATTCACTGCTCTAAATCTTAACCAAGATCTTAAAATGTTGATTATTATTAAATACAACTTAAAGCCTTTCAGTCTGAATACAATAAATTGTCTGTTGCCTCCACCATTTTGGACTCACCAGGCGAACACTTCTTATTAGTAGCATTATTCCAACTATGGCCATTCCAGTACTGATGTTCTACAGAAACAGAATGCATGGTTAATTCTCAGAAATTATCATTTACAACAGTCAACAGTGAGCATACTAACTTAAAAGGGGGAAGCAGACTGTCATCATGATCACTAGCGATTCAAGGAGTGCAGATGCCTCACCTCAGCTGGTGACTCAATTCTCCCAAACACTTTGCTGTGTCCCCACTTGCATCATCCTGTCTTCTTACTCCCACAGTATTGCTTCCTAGTTTTTTCTTAGCAATCTGGCATGCACAGGGATTTGAGTGTGAATGATTTTACCTTGGCTATGAATTCCTTGAATGCACCCCTGCCCTGGTCTAACTTTACATCCATGGTGAATTATGTATTTGGTAGAAACCCGTAAAATACAGCACCATGGCAAGTATGTTGGGTAAATGTGTGGGCAAATGACTGAGCATTAACATAGTTAACAAAATACACATATTTATTTGGCGCTTAATAATACAAAATGGCAGGTACTAGACTACTCTAAGGATGGGGCTACAAGGGCATGTCTGCAGGCACAGCCTTGGACCTCATGCTGCCTAGCTGCAAAGCATTTGCAAAGCTCAAGTTCCACAAATTCTTAGCAGAATTTTTGAAAAGTAGTTGTTCCTTCCAAATTTATTCCCCTCCTGGCTTCTAGTTGCCTGTCTTCCCCAATGCTCTGTCGGCCTTTGCTTTTGCCCATTTCCACCCCCGGAAAATCCCAGGCCTCATTGCTACAGATTCTTCTGTAGCTTTCTGCAGTTGTTCCAAGATGTCGGCCAAGTCCAGGGCTTTACCCACTCTGCCAGGTTTATGTAGCTCACTCTCAGTTGTGTCCAGTTCCGATTTCCCTTGCACACTAAAAAAACTATGCCCAGTTTCCTCAAACAGCATCCACCTACAACTATGCTTTGAAGTCTAATGACAAGATCAAGATCACAGTCTCCGTATTTGCATGTTCAAGAACTCTACAGCTTTTCCTAAAAAGTCATTTACTGCTACTCCTCCCTGTCAGGAGCCATCACCACCATCAACCCAGGGGCAGCTGCCCCCCCCCCGGGGGGGGTTTTTTTTTTTTTTTTTTTTTTTTTTTTTTTTGTACATTAACCAGTTTATTACAGGGTGGGAGAGGGAGAGAGACAGAGAGAGGGTTAAGAGAGAGTAAGAGCAAGGGGGCAGCTCCTTCTTTGTCCACATCACCACCAGGACCTTAGTGGCAGTGCTTTCTCTGGTATTACTCTGGCCGTCTGACCACTCCTGTGGTGTCCCCAGTCCCGTGCCAGCCTCGCAGCAAGGCCCCGGGCCTGGCCGCCGCCACCATTCCCGTGGCCGGCCAGGCATTCCGTCCCTGCCCGTCTTCCTCGTGGCTGCCTCGAGCACCCGCTCAGGCTAGCCCACCCCGCCCTGCTGTGGCACCTGGACAAGGCGCAGGTGGTTGTCCGCCCACTGCGACACACGCGTCACCACGTTGGCCTCCCCTGGGTCC